CCCGCCACTGCTGGAGTGCACACCTAGTGCCTGGTCCTGAACCCAGCACTTCTCATGAATCATAATTGTGTCGTGTTCATACCAACCATCATGCCCATTTTATAGACAGGAAACTGAGTCTAGAAAAGTAACTTGTCTAAAGTAACACAGGAAATGAGGAAGCCAAGAAGGACATGGAGCCCCCGACCAGTGACAGGAGGATGAAATTTCCCCAGAGCTGGGGGCAGGCGAGGCCTTACCAGCTTCCTAGAGACTCATATGCTTATCTGCATTCTTAGGGGCCACGCCGACTCTCCAGCTGGGACTGCTGCCAAAGGCTTCCTGAAGGCAGCAACATTCTGCACAGGCACCACACCTGGATCCGAGTCCGTGAAGGCCGCAGAGAGTTCACGAAGGACCATGTGGAGGTGGGCTCCCAATCAGGTGCAGACAGCACTAGGCAGCCCAAATCCTCCCTGCCCGGCAGGGGCCCCTTGGGACCCCCGTACCCCCTGCCACCTGAGCTCCAGCCCCCTACCAACTGCTGCATGAGCGGCTGTCCCAACTGCGTGTGGGTGGAGTACGCGGACACGCTGCTGCAGCACTACCAGGACGGTGGGGAGCGGGCCCTGGCTGCCCTGGAGGAGCACGTGGCTGACGAGAACCTCAAGGCCTTCCTCAGGATGGAGATCCGGCTCCGAGTGAGGAGTGGAGGCTGAGCCGGCCCAGCCAGACAGCCTCACCCGGACGGAGGCCCTCGCCCTAAGGGGCTCCAGCTTGGCGGTTCCTTATTGGGAAGCAACACTGCCTCTTTTATTTGTCATCTCTTTATGGGGCTTGTGTTGGATGCGAATAGGAAGAGTTATTTATTGACTTTATCTGAGAATAAATAAGTTCTCTGTGGTGGTTAGACAGGAGGCTTCTGTGTCGTTATATGTCTGTAAGGTTTGTGTTGCCTCATCAAAGAAAGCAGGGACAGGTGGTCATATTTACCGAGCACCCACAGCCTTCACCAACCTGTGAGGGTGAAATAAGACTCATTTCCTTGAATATTCAAGTGACAGTGACCCCGGGGCTCCCTTCCATGTCCCAGCATCCCAGAAGTCCTGCCCAGAGGTCAGCTCTGGTTACTCTCAACATGCGGCAGAGAGAGGACCATCTGGTCCCGTGAAGTTGCCATTGGCAAAGCCCTTGGTGCCAACGCCTGAAGGCAGCCCGGGAAGCACCCCATTCATCCAGCTGCAGTCAGCCCTCAGCTGCTCGGGTCCTTGGGAGACACCCTTCCACCACCAGGTAGAAGGCTGCAGGTCAGCCTCAGGGGCCTGAGCACTGCTTGGCCACCAGCCGTTTCAAGCTGCTTAGCCATGGCTCCCAAGGCAGTGGGCTTGGAAGGACCGGAAGACCTCGAGTGTTAGCCTTGGAACCAGCCTCCCGGCACCAGCCTGGTCCTTGGCTACAGACCTGGCACTGGACCATTGGCCCAGGTAGGACTTTATCTTAGGGCCCTCACTGCCCATCCCCATGTCCTGCTCACCCTCCTCCATGGAAACTTTCCCCCCTCATCCGCCTCCAAGCAACTCCAAGATCTGATTCCAGTGGCCTGGGCCTGGCGAGGGTTACATGAATTTATGCCTGTTTTATTCCTACTCATTTGGCTAAGATTGTAACAGGACTTCACAAGGGATTTGCGCTGATAAACAGGTCTTCCCAGGTTGGGGTCTTTAGTGTAAAGCCAGCGTTTCACAGAGAGATAGAGATCTGTGGACAGTAGACTAAAACCACGCAACCGCAAAATGTGCCATACCAATGCCTAACAAGACACGCAGTAGTTCAGGCTGTTGTCTTGGACAGCTAATGAGTGTCATCCAGAAGCATTCAGAGCTTTGGTGGGTTCAGAGAAATGTGATTATGGTGACATATTTATTAGAGTCTATCTCAGTGTCTAGTCTAACCCCTGTGATACAGATTTGAAAACAGTGCAGGAAAAGATGTTCCCCACATAGAGCAGCACAGCAGAGCTCAGTGTGCTCCGGGACCCCCTGAAGTCGTCCACGACATAGAGGGGGTTTATCTCAGAGATGTAGGAAGAGGGTTTCTATATTTTCCTCAAAAATAGGGATTTACAAAACGTCTTGTATATATGTGTATACACATGTATACATATATCCATATACACGTGTGTGTACTTGTGTACGTATGTATACAGCCCACCCAGTGGATCCTACGAAATTAGCCTTGTTTTAAAATTCACCAGTCGTGGAAAAGGCCCGTTCAGTGTGGGACATCCCCAAAGAGAAGCCACTGGCCTCGCCCCTTGCCATGGGGCAGGCCCCCTCCTGCATGTAAAACATGGCGGCTGAGGATGCCAGCACAGTGTCAGCACCAGCCTTGCTGAAACTACCGTCCCAGTGCGGATCTTGTCATTGTTCATTCATTCATTCATCCCACAGGTACTTATGGAGCGTCTGCCAAATACCTGGCACTGGGCTAGACTCTGGGATCCGGTGGAAATCTGTCTCCCCATTCTGCTCTAGTGTGGGAGACGGAGGTTAACACAAGAATTATCCAAACATACAATTACATGATAAGTGTGATGAAGGAAACTTCCAGCTGCTGTGAGGTCCTATGAAATAGGCATCCTGATACTGTGTGAGGGGTCGCCCCAGGGAGATGAGACTGGGGCAGAGCTCTGAAGGCCTAGGAGGAGGGAGCTGGGGGAAAGCAGAGAGGTGTAGAAAATGCACCACCCAGGGAGCAGCAGGTGCAAACGTCCTGGGGTGGAAGGGGCTCATCGGAGTACGGAGAACGAGAGAGGGGTGAAAGGTGAGGCCAAAGATAGGGGCCTGGCGGGTGCAGACATGGCCCGCTTGGCAAAAAGCCATGCTGTGGTGGGTATCCCACGTATAAAGTAGAGGAAAATGTTCATCCATGTTAGCTCAGGGCCAGTCTTCCTCAGCAAAAAGAGGAGGATTGGCAGCAGATGTTAGCTCAGGGCTAATCTTCCTCAAAAAAAAAAAAAAAGATAGAGGCCTGGCTACACACGGCTTTGGGGGCCACAAAGGTGGGTTCTTCAGAAGTCAGAGGACTGAAAGAGAGGGAGAGGTGCAAGACGGCAGCCAGTGCGGGTTCATCTTCATTTCAAAGCTGAGCGGCTTCAAGAGAGAGTGCTGCTGTTCTCCTGCTGTTCTGTTCCTGATCACACTTCCCCTCCCTGTCCTGGCCCCGTCCTTGGCTTGTCCTTCCTTCAGGCCCTTGACCACACCTGAGCTGCTTCCCTGTCCCCCAGAAGCGTCAAGGCGGGGGGTGCCTGCCCCAGGGCCCCTGACAATCTCATTAGTGTGGTGTCAGAGGACAGTCCTAATCAGCTTACCCACAGCAGGATAAATGCCCAGGCCGGCACCCTGCTGAGGGAAACCTGGCCACTCACACCCATAACCCCCTGAGACCTGCCCCAGAGCTTGGTGAGTAGTGACCTTCCCAGGTCGCCTTTCCTGGTGGCCATTTACCCAAGGGTGTTAGTGGGCATCTACCCAGAGGGTGGGCAGCAGGTGGGCTTTTCGCCACCACACTTAGGCCTGGGTCTGCGAGAGTCCATCCCCGGCCCTTTCCATCAGAGAGGGTGCCCAGCCCATCTCCCTGCTCCCCCATGTCGAACAGTGGTGCAGGCCATCCCCGAGACAGCAATGGTCTGGGAGCCTTAGGCCACACATGCTCAGCCAGCTTGAGTGGGCCCCAACCACAGGGGGGGCTGGGCCCTGGGCAGCTCAGGCATCAGTTTCCACGGGGACAGCATGATAGCTGGAGCTCCATCAGGGCCCCTGGCTGTCCTTGCCAGGCCTATGGCCTGGGACTGGGGAGGGGGTCTGACTGGGCCTATACATCTGGGCTGTGAGGAGTGGGGTTGTGGGGTCTGAGCAGCCAGCACCACCAGGCCTGCTGCTGTCCGCCTTAGACCCCACGCAGATCCGGCTCCTGAGCCCTGGTTCCTCCCAGGCTGGTGCTAGTCCTGGCACAAAGGCTGCACCTTAGGGAGGGATGGTCCATGGCGGGGTCCACCCCAATCCCAGGTGCCCTGGACCTGCCGCCAAGCCTTGCTCCCTGTGGGGCCACCTGTCCTCACCTCGCAGTTGGTCTCAGTCCTGACGCTCTAGCAGGGAGCTGACGGTAGCCCAAGGCTGGAGTCAGGCATCACAGCCCACAAGACCGAGGGCAAGAAACAGGACCCAAGAGGTGGTCCTTGGGTTCTCCAGTGCCAGGGGCAGTGGCTCCTGTGTGTCATGTGCTTAGCCCCAGACCCTTCTGGGCTCATGGTGTTCCCTGAGGGATTAGAGTCTCCCTCTGGTGTTAACAGGCTTAGAGGAAGCCGAGCTACCCTTGGCCAAGGTCACTGGGGCTTAGGGCATCTGGGGAGAGGCTCTGGGGGAGAGGTGGGGAGGTCACCCTTTGAGGTGGGTGCAAGGACACTGGCCTTGTCTGGAGCAGCGGAGAGACCTGCTCAGCCACACCCGAGCCAGGCAGGTGATGTTGGCATTGAGTGGGCTCCAAGCGCAGTGAGTGGCCAGAGGATTTACCAGCAGAGGGAAGACACTGCTTGGGTGAGGGTTACACAGCTCAGCTGGGCGTCTCATTCTGAGACAGGGCCCTGCTCTGCCCAGGCACCTTGCCCTCCCATTTTTCCGGTCATTCTTCATCAGCACCACTGGGTGCTGGAATGTCACCATGAATGAGACCGACTGTCCCAACCCCCAGGGATAGGGGTGGGGAACAGAGGAGAAGGGGGAGACGTGTGAGGAGGGGTACACTTGGGGGTCACCCAGCATTCCCATTCCCCTGCCTAGCCCCACGTCGAGCCCCACGAGGAGCTGGTTGGGGCCTGCCATCAGGGTCATACCGAAGGGTGAAGGCCGGCAGAGCTGGATCTCATGTTTCAGGGTTTCCTCTGCTCTGGTGGTCAAGATCTGCGAGGGGCATCAGTAGCAGGAGGGCTGACTGGGATCCCCGGCCTGGTTTACCCCCAGCCCACAGCGTGAAGGAGTCCAGAAGCCAGAGGCCACCACAGGGTGTCTGCCGGCCTGACCATGAACCTGGAGCCACCCAAGGCCGAGATCCGGTCCGCCACCCGGGTGACCGGGGGGCCCGTCACTCCCAGGAAAGGGCCCCCCAAGTTTAAGCAGCGACAAACAAGACAATTCAAGAGCAAGCCCCCCAAGAAAGGCGTCCAAGGGTAAGCACAGCTCAAGGAGGGGAGCCTCTGCAAGGGGATGGAGGGCCAGCCCCCCCACCCAACCCCCCTGATCCTCAGGTGGCATAGGAGGGCGGCTGTGCTGTAGCTGGGAGGCTGGGGAGGGGCCTCAGCCACCCTTTCCTGGCTGGGTGGTCCCATCATGCTAATGGGATGGGGCAGTTCCAAGGGCCCGAGCCCAGCCTGTCTCAGAGCCCCCCACTCCCCAGCATGGGAGGAGGGACAGGGGGATGCTCAGAGGGCTCCAGTCACCCTCTCTAGCTGGTGTTGCCATCAGGTCTCGAAAGCACCCACTCCCACCTGAGACTCAGCCACAGCCCCCTCAACCGACTAGTGTCCCTGCACACACACTCACAGCCCACGTGAACACACCAGGGACACACTCCCAGACACACCACGCTCTCAGGAACCTGAGTCAAGAGCACACACGCCCCCCCCCCCCCAACCCCACTCTCTTCCTGGCCACAGTCCCTGACTGCTCTGTCCTCACAGGTTTGGGGACGACATCCCTGGAATGGAAGGCCTGGGAACAGGTATGACGACTGCTAGGGTCCACCCAGCTGCCCCCTCACCCACCGGTGTGCCCAGGCCCAACCTCCCTTGCTTTCTCAGGCCCAGGCTTATTTAGGGTGTCACCCGCCCCGAGCCTGTCCTTTGTTTTCTCCCCCAACATCTCCCCCAACAGTGGAAACTGAAGCTTGTTCTCATTTGTGGGTTCACCGGGTTCTTGGAGGGGCTGGAAAAGAACAGGGCGCCCTTGCCGTCCCCTCCCCCTGGCAGCAAGGCCCACCTTCCTCCAGTCCCTCCCTTGGGCCTGCTGTAGCCACTCTTCCTGGGCAGGACACCCACTCCACACACCCCCAAAGCTGGTGTGTCCTGGGAGGAGGCCTCTACACCCAAGACGTGTACTCTCACCACTTGGGGTGTAGATAATAGGGCCCCGAGGGATAGTGGCTTCTGAGGCCATGGCACCCTCCTGGACACTGGCCTCCTTCTCTTGCAGATATCACAGTCATCTGCCCATGGGAGGCCTTCAACCACCTGGAGCTGCATGAGCTGGCCCAGTACGGAATCATCTAGCACCCAGGGTCCCGGGACCCTCCACCCTGCTGTCTGCTCCAACCCCTGCTCAGGATTCCTGTGGAGGAGGCCCACCCCCCAGTGCAGTGTGTCCGGATTGCCCAGATTGTGTCTGGAGACCTGCACAGGGCAGCGACTTCAGGCCCCCAGACACTAGTTCCCAGGAGCCCACCATCTCCCCACAGGATGCCCTCTTGGGGCCGGCCAGGCCCTGCTTAACTTCCCGAGACTCTGGCCCACACCCCCAGGCTTGCCCTTGGAGACAGGGAGCTGGACCCCAGCCCCTCTCCACTGGTGGCTGGAAAGCCAGAGCAGGACCTCCCAGGAGTGTCCCCCTCACCCAGGCCCCCATCCTCCCTGTCCCAGGGTGAGAACAAGCCCCTCCCACTAGCCCGTCCCAGCAGGCGCCCTTGGGTCTGGGATGGTTGTGGGCAGGAGTCCTGAGGGCATCAGCAAGAGAGCAAGGCCACTGTGAACCATCATGCCTGCAGGACCTCGTCCTTTCCAACATGGCCCATGCTTGCTGTCCTTGTTTCAAAATAGAGTTAGTGCACCCCCACTTGCTCATTTGGGGCATGTTGTCAGTAGAATGTATGGATGAAGGTGCAGGGCAGTGGGGGCAGCAGGGCCCTGGCCAGGCTGAGAGGGAAGAAAACCCATCGGGCTCTGAGCCTGGCTCTCTCATGGCCGGGGACACAAGCAGCCAGGCCAGGGCTGGGACGAGGCAGGCAGGTGGCCTCGCGCACTCCCAGTGGCCAGAGCAGGCCTGACCGAGAAGGTGGGACAGGACAAGGCCCAACAACAGCTCACGCCAGGAGGAGGGAACGTCTTTCCCCTCCTCACAGGTGAGGAAACAGGTGCGGAGAGATTCGGTAACTTACCCAGTGGCCCAGCCAGCCTGTCCTTAGTGTCCACTAAAGCTGGTCAGGCACCCACTCGTGACCTGGCAATTCCACTCCTGACACCACAGCCAGGAGAAGCAGGGCCACCTCCATACCAGACCTGTGCAAAACTGTCGCTGGCAGCAGTCATTATCCGGAAGCCACCCAGGTGCGTGTCGACATGGACCAGGTGTGGTGACCAGATGGTGACTCTCGGGAAGGGCCCTCAGTGATCCCGTTTATGTGAAAGCCAGGAAAGGCCACACTAACCGAAGGCGGTGAAGTCCAAACAGGGGTGACCACAGGGAGGGGCTGGGGGAGCCTGCTGGGGCTGGATTTTGACCTGGTGGTGGTTCCCCAGGTGTTTAGATAGGTAAGAATTCCTCGTGCTGCCCACTTAAGATTGGTGCAATTTACTGCATGAATGATACATCTCAATAACATTTACTGCCCCCCAAAAAAAGAATTCTGGAGGAAGAGGCCTGGGCCTCACCCTCAACCACCACAATGGATAGCAAAGGGGGAGGTGGCCCCAGAGGAGGGCAGATGCCAAGCTGTGGTAAGGAGCTGGGTCTCAGGGTTAGGCCTTGAAGGTGGGGGTCTGAGGCTGGCCTCAGAGGCGGGTGGGAGATGGGCCTTGGACGTGGGACCTCACAGGCAGGGCTCAGAGTTGGGGGCTTGGCCGCAAGATTTCATCCAGTCCCTGTCCCACCCCATTCTCCCTCCCAGCCAGGTGGCTTTGCCTGCATCCTCTGTGGGAGGCAGACGCTGGCCCGGCAGCACCTCTTGGGGGTCGGTCTACACTTAGACCACAGTGGCTTTTGCAAGCGATCAGGCAGTGTGAGTCAGTGGATCTGGGGGCAAAGCCTCCAAAACAGAGCGAAATCAGGTGGCCGCCGGGGACTCATTCCAGCCGAGCCTTGGGGAAACAACAGAACTGAGAAGGAGGCAGGCAGGCTCAGCCCTTGGGGAGAGGGGACCCTGGGGAGCAGAGGCCCAGCAGGTGGAGGCGGCTCGGGTGTCCGAGGTGCACGTCCACAAGCACCCACGCAGGTCACTCTGACGCCTTCCCTGGGAGGGTCCCAGACTCTATCCCACTGCCCCCATCTTTTGTCCCCGGTGCCAGTCATCCCCAGCCAGCTTGGCAGAGGGCCAGACATCAGTTCTGGGACTCCAGTGGCTAGGCCTACCTTCCCTCTCCCCTCCGGGGCTCTCCGCCGCCCCCTTGCGGCCAGCCAGGACCCTCAGCAGCTGGGTGGCCAGCAGGAGCTCTGCCCCCTGGACCACCACGACTGTGATCAAGCAACTACCCACGACCGGGATATTTCCGCGCAGCCACTGTCGGAGTGGGGGGCCGCAGCCCTCCAGGTGCACCACTCTCTGAGCTGCATCCTCATCCAGGCCCAGGACCCCGAAGCCACACTGGTCATTGACAGAGGCTCCATCTTCCCAGGGGTTGATGCAGCAGGAGGCAGGAAGGCTGCAGGCCTGGACCCCGGGGGAACTGCAGTTAAAGAACCTGCAGGGCACACAGGGCGTCAGGCTGGAGGGCAGCACCCACTGTTTTGGGACTTGGTGCTGCACAGAGTGTCTCCCATCCACCTTCAAGCTTCCATGGCCACACACACACACACAGAGGTGCACACGCATGCACACACACCCACACTCATGCACATGCACACGTTCACGCCTGCATACACACAGGCATGAATTCACACAGGCAAGCATGTACACATACATATGCACATGCACACACAGACACACACACAATACCCAGCTTTCTATAACTGATCCTGGCATGTGGTAGCCCTCTGCACATGCAGGCAGATGTAATAGCTTCTTGGCTAGAGGGGCCATATTTAATGAGATGGTTGAAGGGGAGACAAGCATTTGATGAGGGGTGGAAATAAAGGCAGCCTGGCTCTCGGGCCAGGCCGGTGGTGCAGCAGTTAAGTGCCCATGTTCCACTTCGGCGGCCTGGGGTTCGCTGGTTCGGATCCCAGGTGTGGACATGGCACCACTTGGCACGCCATGCTGTGGTAGGCATCCCACATATAAAGTAGAGGAAGATGGGCACAGATGTTAGCTCAGGGCCAGTCTTCCTCAGCAAAAAAGAGGAGGACTGGCAGCAGTTAGCTCAGGGCTAATCTTCCTCAAAAAAAAAAAAAAAAAAGACAGCCTGGCTCCATAGATGCTGCTGAGTTGGTTTGAGCAGTGGAACTGGAGTGGGAGAAGGTGGGATGAGGCCTGACAGAGGCCTCTTTAGTGGTCACTGGGTCATAGTGGGGAAGTGAGGGGCAGCACTGGCCAGTGACACGAGGTGGGAGGCTTGGGAAGAGCTCCCAGGGCTGCCAGGGAGTGTTGCTCTGGTCACAGTCCCCAGTCGCCCTTGGCCTCCGACAGGTGTCCAGGACCCTGCAACCTGTAGGCTCATCCCCTTCACCTTCCCTCACAGGCACTGCCTCATCTCCCAAAAGAGTGGGTCTTGTAAGGAAGGGGCTCAAAGGATAAGTGGCCACAACTCCACAGGGAGCTGCCACCAATCCAAGGTCACATGCAGCCAGCAAACAAGAACAACCCAGGTGCATGCTTCTAGAGTGCCTGGCACATGGATGGGCTCCACACGTGTTAGTGACTGTTGGGTACGAATGGCTGGTTTTTGAGAGTCTCCACATGACTCCATCTCTTGTGGTCAGTTTCCCCTGGATACACACACCAGGAAGGCCCAAGGGGGGAGCATATACCATCTGTCGTGAGTGTCACATAGAGAGCAGATGCTGCTCCAGAGTCTGTGCATTGGGGACAGTTGACAAAACAGATAGCCTCGAGCAGAACAAAAAAGAAACTGCTGTGCGCCTGAGCAGAGAGTGCTGAAACACACACGCACACACGGTGGAGGGAGGACTGTGGAGTCGTGGTCCAGAATGACATCCTGAATCAACCTAAAAGTTATTGTCATTTGACATTGAGGTGTTTTGTATGATGTCCTTACCAAAGAAAATCCCCCAAAAGTGACTTTCTAAGTCTGCTGGCTGGGCTTCTCCATTAAGATCCTTGCGTGTCCACCTGGCCCTGGCTGGGTCTGAGTGTGTATGTGTGCAGACGTGTGTGTGTGTGGGGTGACCCCCCTCCAGCCCCGGGGACCCTGCTGACCACCAGAGGCCACCCTCCTCCCTCCCGCGCTCCGGGACTCACAGGTTCCTCTGCCAGTCCTGGTAGGAGGCGGCCCCGCAGCACTGCAGCCTGAGCTGGACTTGGTCCATGAGGAAGCGCAGGTCTGGGTCATCCTGGTAGTGGGTGATGGCCACACGCAGGGCATGCTCCAGGCCATCCTGCAGTGGGCCCCAGAGGGCTACCACCAGGGCCCCCCACACGGCCTCCAGCACCAGGAAAGTGAGAAGGCCTCCCGAGAAGCAGCGCAGCAGGCAGGCATTCTCGCAGAGGGCACCCAGGCAGCCCGCCAGGCTCACCACACTCACCGCCAGCCCCCCCAGCACCAACCCCAGCATGGGGTCTGCAGGCAGGGGGCCCCCCCAACTATTCCCCAGAGAGCCCCTGATGGCCAGGCCCCAGAGCCCCATGGCCAGGGCCAGCAGGCTGAGCAGAGAGAAGAGGAAGTTGGATAGGAAGGTCAGGCACTTGAGGCAACTTCTTCCCGAGGGGAGGAAGGGGACCAGGCCTCCCCCAAGGCCTGTCCTCCAGGCCTGGCCCTCCTGGAGTGCTGGACCCAGGTGGCTCGAAGTGAGTGGGCTGCTCCCAGAGAGGGGTGGCTCCTGGCCCCCAGCGTCCTGCAGAGGGAGGAAGAAAAGGGAGACCTTGCCAGTGCCACCCCATTCCCACAGACCCCTGACAGTCAGGAGGGAGGAAACCTCACAGCAAGGGGTAGAGCCGGCAGAGGGGAGAAAGCTGGACGGTGGAGGGGGGAGGGGGCTCAGAGATCCTAGATGGCCAAGACATGGAGCCTCCAGGCTTGTCGTGCTCGGCCGGGTAGCAGAGGGGACAGTGAGGGTCCCAGCACCTTTAGAACAGGGGGATTACTACCCCCTCCAAGTCCGTGGTGGAGATTAAGCAAGGCGATGGTGGGAAATAACTATTCCCGTTCCACGCCTCTCCCCTCTGCACCTGTGTGGCAAAAGACGTGGTCACTGGGGGGCTTCTCCAACCAGGCCAGGAGGTTGGGGCCCACCAGGCAGAGGGGCTGGCCCAAGTGACCACCTTCACTGCCTCTGAAACCAGACCTGATGTCCCAGAATCCACTTGGTCAGCCCTGCTAACTGAGTGCAAGTGCTGTGCTGGGCCCACGACAGTGGGGGACAGGCCAGGGCCCTGCCCACCCGGCTCCCGGGGCAGGGAGAAGGGCCACCAGGAGACCAGGGCTCTGTGGGACGCAGGGCCTTCCAAGGGGCCCCCTCATCCTCTAGCAGGACTCAGCCAAGCCTGGGGCTCCTGGCCGTACCAAAGTGAATAGTTAAGGGGTGCTGAATGTTGGGGGCCTGTCCCCCCTCACAATTCCCCACAGAGGAGTGGCTCATTGATCGGTGAGGTTTAGAGAAACTGCAAAGCCTGTTCTACTTGGCCGCTTAATGGACGATCTCAATTTCAGTTCTGCCTGCCCCTTCTTCCTCACTTGACCCCCTTGCCCCGCAGGCAGGTGTGGGAGGGCCTTCTGGTCTCTCTCTGCAGGAGCAGAGGGACAGCCTGCCCCTGCCAGCCCCCGCTGGGGAGGCCCGCAGGCACCCAGCTCTGCCAGTGATGAAGTTTGAATGGGGGGAGGATTAGGAAGCTGACACCCCACGTCTAGGCAGGGGTCCCATTCCAGTCCAGTTTACCAGGAAGAAGCTGCCCCTCATCCCCACCTGTCTGACTCTGTATGGATGCTTCATTTCTTCTGAACTCAGAGCAGAGGGAAGGAGGGCTATTTATCAGCCCCCCAGACACCAACAAGCCAGTAGGAGCGGAAGGACAGGCTGCCAGTGCTAGGTTGGGTGGACTGGGGCCAGAGGAGGCCATGGGAGTGGACGTGGGCTGGGGACGTCACCTTGCAGCTCCACGGTCAGGTGGGAGGGATGTTGGCCTTTAGTCCCTCCTTCACCCTGAGCCAGAGGTCGCCCCCAACCCCTTGTCCGGGGGCCAGCACTGGGCTGAGAGAACAGGAGCAGTGGGGAAGGGGCCACAGGGGAGGTGAGAAGGCCAAGGGGCCTGTGGGGGGAAGTCACAAGTGGAGGGGGACCAAGCCCTGGGCGTGTGCTTTCCTCGGGGCATGGACACATCTGTGCAGTGTCAAATGCAAGGACAAGGTCGGGTCACATTTCAGAGTCTGAACGGGGTGCTGGGTGAGGTGAAGGAGCCTGACTGGGAAGACCTCAACCCCAATCTTAGCAGCTTCTCATGGACATCCGCCGCCTGGCTAACCCCAGCATACGGCAAGGCTTGGGATGGGGCTAGGGGCCAGGGTGTGTAAGAACTGGGCCCAGGGGCCTCCCACGGGCCTTAGGGCTGGGGACATCTCCAAACCCAGGGGAGGCCACCAGGGCACTGGCTTACCTGGGACAGCAGGGGGCTCCTTTCCCCCTCTTTCATCCTCCACCAGCACAGGCACATTGGTCCCCTGCCCAGCTTCTCTGGCTGGGACACCGGGCCTGATGCTGCCCCTGTCTCTGGCTGCTCTGGCAGCTATGAGCCCCACCAGGACGCTGTAGTCACAACCGGATCATGTGAGGAGTCACATTTTAGGGCTTAAGACAGCCTCTGCCTGTTGAGATGCAGACGATCTTTCTTCTCGAGCCCAGATTCTTGGCTCTTTCTGTGCATTCCCTGAAGTTCTGCATAAGCACAACGTGGATGGGGCTGTCAGGGTGTGGGCCTCGTGGCCATCACTACAGGGCCCTGGGGTGGGCCTCAGCCTGGCAGGTTTCTGGCTGCTCCATCAGCTCACCCAAGAGATCAGACCCTGTTCACAGGAATAGTCCCTGGAGACCTGCCCGCAGCTATAGGCAAGATTATTCCCCTGATTCATTCATGGTAAGAATGAGACAATATCCATTGGCCAGCTCACATCCTTCCTGGTTTCATGGTACCTGGGTTCCCCAACCCTCTGGGCTTCTCAGGGGCAGGACTTTGTCACAGTCAGCATTGTGCCCTAGTGCCTGGAAGGACCCGGGCCACGCAGCCACCCTGTGGATGGACAGAAGGTGTGCTTGACACTCTGACTCTGTTTCATCTCGTCTTCTCTCAGTGGCTAGGACAGTGGTGGGAAGGAAGGCTCAGAGGGGACCCCCACCTGCTTGGGCACGCACGTCTCCCCACCTCCCTTGTTCCATTTGTGAGGCTATGATGTGCACGTCAGTTGTTGGCTTCCGGGCACCTCTGATGGTCGTGGGGGCAGAGACTGGGAGGAGACCTTCTGCACACGCGTGTTTTCATGGCAGGAGAGAGGGTGACCTCCGGGGCATGCCAGGGCCCCATCCCGTCTCCACCATCCTCCCCACCGGGGTTTGGCATTCCAGCCCCAGCTTCTCTTCCCCACTTTACCCACCACTTCACAATCCAGCCACAGGGGCTGCTGGCTGGCCCCAAATGGCCCCACACTCGTACGACCCGACCTTTGCCATCCCCTGAAATCTCCTTCCTGCGTCCAGCTCCAGACGTCTCCTGCCCAGGGGGCAGTGGGCTCCCCCTTTCTGGGCTTCTGGAGCGCTTTTCGCTTCTATTCTGATGTACTCAATTTTGCTTCGTTTACTATTTCTCTCTGTTCTTGCTTCATGTCCCCCTACGAGCTTCCCACAGGACAACCACAGCCTGCGCCCATCCTAATTTCCTGACCCGCAGGATTGTGAGCCGAAGCAGTGCTTGTCGTTTTAAGCCACTAGGTTTTGGGAGAGCCCATTACACAGCATTGCTGTGACAACACATAACTGATACAAGGGTTTGTTCTGTTAGGGCCATTCTGAGCCCTTGCCACACAGCCGTGAAAACAACCTGACAATCCCCAGTCACCAGGAGCTTACATTCTAGTACAGGGAACTCATAAAGCAAGAGAATAAATAAGTCAATATACTCTATTTTATATAATCATAAGAGTTATGAAGCAAGGAAAGAGAGATAAAGGGTGTGGGGTAGTGGTGTCTCATATAAGGTGATCAGGGAGGGCCTCACTGTGAGAAGATGTCTGGCTCCGAGGTACATATATACTCGAAAGAATTTTAAACAGAGACTCAAACAAATACATATACATGCATTTTCAAGGCAGCATTATTTACAGTCGCCAAAAAGTGGAAACAACCCAGATGTCTATCGACGAAGAACAGATAAACAAAACGTGCTCTATGCATACAGTGGAGTACTATGCAGCCATGCAGAGGAATGAAGCACTGACACACGCACAACACGGATGAACCCTGAAAAGATTATGCTCAGTGAAAGAAGCCAGACGCACAAGTCCACATATCATGTAATTCCATTTATGGAAAATATTCAGAATAGGTAAAGCCACAGAGACAGAATGATGATTGGTGGTTGCCAGGGGTTGGGGAGGGGGCAACAGAAAGCTACTGCTGAGTAGGACAAGTTTCCTTTTGGGGAGGTGGTTACACAACATTGTGAATGCACTAAATGCTACTGATTTTTCACTTTAAAATGATTAATTGCATGTTATGTGAATTTCACCTCAATTCAAAGAAGAAGAAGAGGACTGAGAAGAAACCTAAGGAGGCAAGGAAACAAGCCACATGGATTTTCTCAGCTCACGCCCCCCGCAAGGCCAACTCTGAGAAAGTGACCAGGGATCCACCTCTGGGAAGGAAAGAGGACTGGGCACAGGGAGAAGGTGAGCTGTCAGGCAGTCACAACAAAGGCTCGGGATCCTATGAGGAGCTCTGGAACCGGGATGGCCTGCAGAGATGTCCTAAACTGGGACAAAGGGCTGGGCCTTGATAGCCATCGATTGTTGTTGAGCATGGGCTGCCTGGGAAAGGGACAGTGATCCAGGGCGAGGGCAGTCCCCCAAGGGGAGCTCAGATGAGGACTGCTGGCCGCTCACACTCTCAGCAGCTTCAGCCCAAGTGGGGGTCTGGGCGGTGCACCCAGCACACACTACACTGATGTGTGCGGGAAGAGCATTTCAGGCATGGGAAGTGCCTTAGGTGGGAGCAAGGCTGGTAAGTTTGAAGAAGGAAGGATTTTGCTCCAAGTGAGATGGGGAGATTATGGGAGTCAAGTAAAGGAGCATTGTGACCTGCCTCATGCTTTAAAAGGACCACTCAGGCTTCTGTGCTGCGGGCAGAAGTCAGGGCAAGGATGAGAACTGAGATTAGACCTTGTAGTCAAGCCATCATTCACCTCTTCCTCAAAGGTGACACACTCAGGCTGCATCCAGCTCCGAAGCCAGGCTCTCAGGGCAACAACCATCACCTCCCCAGCTCCATCTCTGTCCTGTCCTGATGATGGGCAGCCTTTGGATGAAATTATAGTCACCACCATGGTTATGGGCTGAATGGTGTTCCCCTAAATTCATCTGTTAATGTCCCAACCCCAGTACCTCAGAACATGACTTGGAGAAAGAGCATTTTTTTTCTCCTGAGGAAGATTCTCCCTGAGCTAACATCCACTGCCAATCTTCCTCTACTTTGCATGTGGGTTGCTGCTACAGCATGGTCACTGCTACAGCTTGGCTGCTGCAGAGTGGTGGAGGTCCATGCCCGGGAACTGAACCCAGGCTGCTGAAGCTGAGCGTGCTGAACTTAACCACTAGGCCACAGGGCCAGGAGACAGGGCCTTTAAAGAGGTAATTAACTTCAAATGAGGCCATTAGGGCAGGCCTGACTCCAACGTCCTCATAAGAGGAAATCGGGACACATGGACAGACGCCAGGGATGCTTGAGAACATGGGAAGGGCACAGGGAGAACGTGGCTGTCTGCAAGCCAAGGGGAGAGGCCTCAGAAGAATCCTCAGAATCTTGCCATCACCTTGATCTCGGACTTCCAGCGTCCAGAATTGTGAGAAAATAAATTTAAGCCACCCAGTCATTGGCGTTTTTTAAAGCAGCCACCAGAAAACTAATACAACTACTAATATCACTTTAAAAAAATCAATGTACACAACTCAACAATAAAAAATCAAACAACCCAATTACAAAATGGGCAGGGGACATGAACAGACATTTCTCCAAAGAAGATATAAGGATGGCCAATAGACATGTGAAAAGATGCTCATCATCACTAATCATCAGGGAAATGCAAATCAAAACTACACTAAGATATTACCTTACACCTGTTAGATTGGCAAAAATATCCAAAACCAAGAGTGAGAAATGTTGGAGAGGCTGTGGAGAAAAGGGAACCCTCATACACTGTTGGTGGGAATGCAAACTGGTGCAGCCACTATGGAAAACAGTATGGAGATTCCTCAAAAAGTTAAGAATAGAAATACCTTATGACTCAGCCATCCCACTACTGGGTATCTATCCTAAGAACCTGAAATCAGCAATTCCAAAAGTCCCATGCACCCGTATGTTCATCGCAGCATTATTCACAATAGCCAAGATGTGGAACCAACTTAAGCGCCCAGCAATGGATGATTGGATAAAGAAGATATGGTATATACACACAATGGAATACTACTCAGCCACAAAAAAGGACAAAGTCGTCCCATTCACAACAACATGGATAGACATTGAGGGTATTATGTTGAGTGAAATAAGCCAGACAGAGAAAGACGATCTCTGTATGACTCCAGTCATAGGTGGTAGTTAACATACGGACAAAGAGAACTGATCGGTGGTTCCCAGGGGAAAGGGGGGGTGGGTGGAGGGCACTAGGGGTGAAGTGATGTACCTACAACATGACTAATAATGATGTACAACTGTAATTTCACAAGGATGTTAACTTTCATAACCTTAATAAAAAAAACCAATGTAATACCTTCACAATAACATAATGGAGGTTAAAAAGTAAGCAATGTGTCATAGAATAACCTGTCCATCCTCATGCGATGCTCGAACACAATCATACCAGGAGACATCACGAAGAAGGCATAGGCGGGCCCTTCTGTGTAAGGGATACATTTGGTTATAAGAGAAGTGAAAAGATCAGAGGCCATTCTGTACAAGAAGAAGAGGGAAAATAAGAGGAGAAGGATGTACCAGCAGAATAAAAACCAGTTCTTCGGACAGTCTACCAGCTCTTCCTCCAATGTCCGTCCGGGGTCCAGCCACCTCTCGGCCTTCGCTGCCACCATGAGCTGTCCTCTGGACTATGGCATGAGCCTCCTTGAGGGTCTCCCTGCTTCTCCTGTGGCCCCTTCCCCACTGTCTCTTCTCCACTAGGCCTCCGGAAGAATCCTAAAATGCAAGAGAGAGCTCATCTCCTCTGCTCTCACCCCTCCAAAGGCTTCCTAACACACCCAGAGCAGAACCTGAGGCCTTTGCACCCAGCGCTCCCCTGCCCCCACTCACTGCACGCAGCCACACTGGCCCCTGTGTTGCTCCTGGAGCACTCCAGCACTTCTCAGGCCCCTGGACCTTGGCACGTGCTTCCCCTCATTCTATTCCACTCTTCCTTGGGATGTCTGTGCTTCCTCTGGGAACTGTTCAAGCCTCACCTCCTCAGACAGGTCTTTCTTGACCATCTTATTTAAAACAGCCTGTACTACCCTCCGGCCCCTCCCTTGCTTTTGTTGTCAGCTGGCACTGGTCATCACCCGACTTCACCTATTTACATCTTGATCTGTTTACAGTCTGCCTTCTGCTGGTAGATTCCACCAGGGCAGGGATCTATCTTATTTCTGCTCTATCCCTAGCATTAGAGCCATGCCACATACAAAGTAGGCACTTTAATAAGTATTTGTTGATGGAATGAATAAACCAAGCTCAAATAACTACTGAAACTGAGCTTACAGAACAGAATGTGTTATAACCACTGACATTGTAACTATAATAACAAAATCAGTGAAATTAAGAGATGGGGATGGGGAGGAAATGAGACTAACAATTTCCTAACTTTTTTCAGCACACGAGATAAAAAAATACAATCTGAAATTGAACCATGGGGTTAAAAAACATAGATTTT